AATGTACATACAAGTGACCAAAGAATGGTATCTAACTCGAATGCACCCTCTCCTGCATATTCCATGACTATGCTTGAAGCTACCTGTGAAGAAATTAAAGCCATTTTTATAAGGCTTAAAAATGACAGCGCTACTGGTTGTGACGGTATATCCAATAAACTTTTAAAAATTTGTAACAATCATATAGTACCCGTCTTAACACATATAGTGAACCTATGCTTAGCTACAGGTGTATTTTCACAAATATTTAAAATATCGATTATCCATCCTATACATAAATCTGGACCAAGAGACTGCATCAACTATTACCGCCCTATCTCAGTATTGCCAGCCCTATTGAAAGTTATAGAAAAGGTAATAAATAAAAGATTAATATGCTTTTTTGGAAAAGAATGCTCTTCTATCAAGCAATCAATATAGTTTTAGAGCTGGCTGGTGTACTTCTGATGCAGTTACTGGATTAAAGGATTATCTTGCTCAGTAAATCGATAAGAAAAATAAATATATAGGTGTATTCTTAGATCTTGCAAAAGCCTTCGATACAGTCTCTGAAAATGCATAAAATAGGTGTACGCGGGAAAGCATTATGTCTGTTTGAAAGTTATATTTCTCACAGAAGACAAAGGGTAAATTTTGGTAACCTGACTAGTCTAGATTCTCTCATCACTTATGGCGTGCCACAAGGCAGTGTCCTCGGCTCTAGTCTCTTCTTAATATATATAAATGAATTATGTAATCTTAATTTGAATAGTTGTAAGATCTTTACATTTGCTAATAATACAGTACTAATTTTTCATGGTAAAACTTGGGAGGAAACTAGAATCAAGGCTGAAATGGGATTGCAACAGACAACACAATGGCTTCAAAAAAGATACTGACACTAAACGCATCGAAAATTAAGTTCATTACTTTTGGTATAGCACAAAATAACATTTCTAGTAAAATACACATTAAAGCCCATACTTGTAATAATATACATCCACATATAACATCATGTCAGTGTATAGTATTAGAACGTACAACCATAATAAAGTACCTTGGCGTAATTTTGGATCAAACCCTAACGTGGATACCACAAATTAAAATGATATCAGAAAAAATTCGCAAACTAATTTATATTTTCTAAACATTGCAGTATGTTGCTGACAATGAACTTTTAAAATCAGTCTACTATGCCATGGCCCAATCCATAATATCATATTGCATAAGAGCGTGGGAGGTGGTAAAAATCTCATATAATAAGAGTTGAAAGGGCCCAACGCGTGTTACTTAAGGTTATGAATTTTAAACCATACCGGTTTCTCACTGCTGAATTGTATACAATGTGCGATGTGCTGACGGTAAGACAACGTAGTTGATACGATCTTATCCCAACATAAGAAAGTCACTTACGACCCAAAACAACCCCAAACGCGAAGGAAGGAAAGAGTGTGTCCTAATATTCCCTTTAGGACTTACTTTATTAAAAAGTTTCAATGTATTATTGGTCCTTTTCTATATAATAAAATTAACCGTATATTTAATATACATTCGCTTAATAAATACAATTGCAAAAAAGTTGACAGTTTGGCTTTGTGGCCGAAGTTGTAAAAGGGGAGATCTCCCGCCGGGCAAGGTGTTCTGCCCGGGGAGCGGCCGACACTCCGTGTGATAGTTCGGAGATGTTCTATATATGCTGTTTATGATTCGGAATGTTAATAGCGTGATTTAAGCTTCGGTGTGTTTCGCTTGCGGCGCGACGACAGCGCCGCCACATCACCCCCTGCTCAGACCGGAGGTCGATAGTGCAGTCCGATTGCCGGTGTGTCCTTTTAATGCCGGTGGGGAATGCATGCTGTGTGCGTAAGGGCAAGTGACACCGGTGCAAATGATATGCCGATGTGTAATGCGTGCCGCACTACGCACTGGCAAGTGATGCCGGTGAGAACGATGTGCCGGAGCAAGCGCCAGAAATCTGCCTTATAAATCTGCGGTGAGTCGAGACGAAGACAAGTTGGACTGACTTGCAGGAACTGAAGACTGCAGAAGACGATTCTCAGTAGTAAATGGTAGGGGTTCTTGAGGATAATGACGAAAGCTTGAAGTTGTAGTTTCCGAAGGTGTTTGGTTGCGTGTTCAGATCACGTCGGGTGGTCACCACTGTGGCCGAAGTTGGAAAAGGGGAGATCTCCCGCCGGGCAAGGTGTTCTGCCCGGGGAGCGGCCGACACTCCGTGTGATAGTTCGGAGATGTTCTATATATGCTGTTTATGATTCGGAATGTTAATAGCGTGATTTAAGCTTCGGTGTGTTTCGCTTGCGGCGCGACGACAGCGCCGCCACAGCTTCAATTACAAACTTATGACGACGTTGAAGATCTATTACAATAAAAAAATGAGCTGAGTCCTAAAATTTAAACTTAAATTAAAATAAAACAATATTAAATAATTATAAGCACCTATTAACACGTTATTAAAAAGTAGTAATTTGTAAAGCGTTTAAGTGTATATTCTATGTTAATTTACTTTAAGAAAGAAACTAGCATTTAAGACACAGGCTTGGCCTAGTTTAAATGCCAGCAATTTTTATCTTATAGTGTACACTTTTCGTTCCAATGTTCCAACTATTAAGATTTATTCAATTAAAATTAAAATTTCAATTTTGTACTACTAAATAACAACATAAATTAAATTCTTAATAAATGTTCACAGTTTTAGTGGTGAAACTTGTTTCTTGTTCGAATGAAACAACATCTTATGCATTCAAGTATCTATTGTTTTGTTCTACCCGAAACTTTAATCTTAAGATTAGATTATAAGTGTGTACCATATTTTGTTTATCAATAAACATTATTATTATTATTATTGTGGGGTATCTATATAGTTTTCTCATCTGGTTGGGTTCTATAAATATATAATTATAAATGAAAATGAAAAGATAAATATACATAAATATCAATAACATAAAATAAATATAAAAATACATAAATAAATAAAAGCCCAACCAGATGGAGGCCCTCGGCAGGGGAGACCAAACGACCGAGGGTTAGGGGGAAAGGGAAAGAAACCGGCGGACGATGCGGGCGGTATCGAGGAGCACCACCTTCTGCATTTGAGCCCGGAGCGGTCCGTCACGTAGTCCCAGTCGCCTCAGATGACCCGAGAGGCTGACTGGGATTAGCCCGTTTGCAGAGACGACTACAGGAATAATTTCGGTCGGCAGACCACCCCACATGTCAGTCACCTCGTGAGCCAGGTCCAGATATTTTGTTCCCTTATCTGTTTCGGCTTTCACGAGGTTCTCGTCATACGGAATGGTAATGTCGACCAAAAATATCCTTGACTGTGCCCGGTCCATAAGCATAATATCAGGCTTATTCGCAAGAATAGTCCTGTCTGTGATGATGGCCCGGTTCCAGTAGAGCCTGGCGCAGTCATTTTCGAGCACGGCTTCCGGCAAGTACTTGTAATACGGCAACTTCCGATCCACGAGACCGTATTTCAGAGCGAGCTCCTGGTGAAGAATTCTGGCTACTAGGTTGTGCCTGTGCAAGTACTCAGAGTTAGAAAGCGCCGAACAACCGGAGATGACATGCCTAAGTGACTCACCGGGATGGCGACAAGCTCGACAGATGTCCACGGTGCCATCCTTTAGGATGTATTTCCGATAGTTGTTGGTCTTAATAACCTGATCCTGTATTGCACAGACAAAACCCTCGGTTTCCCCCGAAGAGATCACCAAAGCGTAGCCAGTGGAGGGAGGCTACTGTGTCTACGAAAGGCTCATGTAGAGCCTTGTAGAACCTCCCATGGAGCTCCTTCTCCTTCCATACGTTCTCCCGGTCGGAAATTGTCTGCACTGCCGGGTCTTGCCATTGCTCGTTTGCTAAGGATAGAGGGGTAAGTCCTTTATCACTAGAAATGACGTCCTTATAGAATGGATCATCCGATCTCGCCAGGAAGTAATTACGGAGGCTGCACACTTCGCGATTATGCATGGTGAGCGCGCTCAAGAAGCCACGCCCACCATGCTTTCGCGGCAAGTACAGCCTCATTACCGACGATCTCGGATGATGCATCCTGTAGGATGTCATGGTAGTGCGGACTTTTCTATCCAGGGCGTTAAGTTCAGTCTGAGTCCACCTGAGTATGCCAAAGGTATACATGAGGACAGGCATGACCCAGCCGTTATATGCGTGTGTCTTATTCACACCGGACAAAAGGCTGTTAAGCACTTTGGTCAAGCGTGCATAAAACACGTCGCAAACTGACTGTTTCATACCAGCCTCATCGATACCGATGTTCTGTGACATACCCAGGTATCGGTATGTTTCAGCCTCGGAAAGGGTCCTTAAGTTGACGGGCATAGATAAGTCTATGCCGTCAGAGTTAGCAACCCTCCCCCTTTCAACATGGAGGACCGCACACTTATCCGTTCCCAGCTCCATTCCAATAGAATTGCTAAATTCACAAGTGATGTTTAGCAATTCCATAAGATGGGAGCGACTGGAGGCGAATAACTTGAGGTCATCCATATAGAAAAGGTGGGTCACTTTTGTACCTCCTTTCCGAAGCTGAAATCCCCTCCCGGAGCCCTCCAGTAAAGTACTGAGAGGGTTCAGGGAGAGGCAGAAACAGATTGGACTCAGAAAATCGCCCTGGAAGATATCCCTTCTTATCCTTATGTGGTTCTCCGCAGCCATCATCCGCTCGCCCAGATAGCAAAGGATCGTACTCCATTGCCCCATACACTGCTCGAGGAAGTCTCCAACTGTACAGTCAATTTTGTACAGCTGGAGGACTCTCTTTAGCCATGTATGGGGCACCGAGTCGAATGCCTTTCTGTAGTCTATCCAGGTGGCGGAGAAATTCCGACGGTTGCGTTTCACCACTTTGCCAATGACCGCGTCAATGAGGAGTGGTTCCTTGGTTCCACGACCACCACCCCGGCATCCATTTTGAGCGCGTGACATCCCCTGATTTAGCTCCAGGTGACGAGTGATTCTCGCGCTCAAAATGGATGTCAGTGTCTTATATATGGTGGGTAGACACGTGATGGGGCGGTATTTGCTCGGGTCTGTGGTATCCTGATCTTTAGGAACCAAATGAGTGATCCCAGTAGTGGAGAGGCCTCAGCCACGTCTTCAGGCGATATGGTGACGGGGTCCATAGGCGTAACACTTGCACTCTGGCTCGCCACAACTTCCATCCAAGACCCCTCGCTGTGGTTTACGGGCTCTGACCACAGGCCACGATAAAATGCGACAGTGTCGGCCTGATCCAGTCCTGGGCCCGCTCCACATACATCTGGTCTCTCCAATGATTTATAGAGCCTCTTCTGATCACTCTGGAAGAGATGATTCTGGTTGAACCGCCTTGACCTCTCGCTAAATCGTCGAATCCGCTTCCCCCAAGCAGCGATTTTGTGCTTCAGGTCATCTATGCGCTCCGTTAGTTTTTGGGTGATATCCGGTTGGAACAAACTGATATTTGTCCCAGCAAACGCCATCCTAACTGTGCGCATAATCTTCGGTCTATTATTACCCGACCTGAAGCTTGTCAGTCTGCCGATAAGGGCCCTTTCAATGTCACAAATGGAATGTTGACGGCAGCATCCACATATGCAGTTTGTTGCGCATCTAGTGGCGCCGCATTCCCAGCCGTAGCATTTCCATTCGATGAAGGAATAGCCTCACGTCGTAGTCGCTCAAGTTCGGCGTTACCAAATATGTTAGAGCGCAGGATGTACCTAACTTGGTCTGCCAGGTTTTGCTCAGTGACGGATAGAGATGTCTCCACCTCTGCAAAAAAGCGATGCATCCGAGCCCGATACGCCAAACATCCAGTTTCTTCCCCTTTTGCCCTAAAATACGCCCACAGTGCGTTTTCATTCATTGATTTAGACCAACGAATGCGACGTACTCCACCAGCGGCGGGTGCCGCTTGCTGAGTCCAAGAAGACCCAGCCGACACCAAGCCTTCTGGTGGGGATGATGGATGCGGGGGGCTGCTAGGTGGTCTTGCAACACCCCGCGCTCGGCTGGCGGCCCGCATGCTGTCGCGTCCAGCGCCAGCTCCAGACGCGCCCTGGCGACCTCCAGGCAGCGGCCCTTTGCGCACTATCTTTTTTTCCATCATCCATAATATGGGCGTCCATTAACGGGAGACGCCCAGGCCCGGCACCGTATCGTGGACGGCCATAAGCACAAACGGGCCTTTGCACCCTGAATTCTGCCGAGGCACGGCGCTCACACCTCTCGCAAGGCGCTAACTGACTGCGTTGACGTAGCAGTTTTGTCAGTTAACTGTTACGTCAGCGGGCGATGGGGTCGTCAATTCCCTACGCCATATTATTATTATTATTTTTGGGGTATCTATATAGTTTTATATAGATACCCCAAATATATATATTTCTATATAGTATTATTATTATTATTATTATTTTTGGGGTATCTATATAGTTTTCTCATCTGGTTGGGATGTATAAATATATAATTATAAACGAAAATGAAAAGATAAACATACAAAAATATCAATAAAATAAAATAAATATGAAAATACATAAATAAATAAAAGCCCAACCAGATGGAAGCCCTCGGCAGGGGAGACCAAACGGCTGAGGGTTAGGGGGAAAGGGAAAGAAACCGGCGGACGATGCGGGCGGTATCGAGGAGCACCGCCTTCTGCATTTGAGCCTGGAGCGGTCCGCCACGTAGTCCCAGCCGCCTCAGATGACCCGAGAGGCTGACTGGGATTAGCCCGTTTGCAGAGACGACTACAGGAATAATTTCGGTCGGCAGACCACCCCACATGTCGGTCACCTCGTGAGCCAGGTCCAGATATTTTGTTTGCTTATCTGTTTCGGCTTTCACGAGGTTCTCGTCACACGGAATGGTAATGTCGACCAAAAATATCCTTGACTGTGCCCGGTCCATCAGCACAATATCAGGCTTATTCGCAAGAATAGTCCTGTCTGTGATGATGGCCCGGTCCCAATAGAGCCTGGCGCGATCATTTTCGAGCACGGCTTCCGGCAAGTACTTGTAATACGGCAACTTCCGATCCACGAAACCGTATTTCAGAGCGAGCTCCTGGTGTAGAATTCTGGCTACTAGGTTGTGCCTGTGCAAGTACTCAGAGTTAGAAAGCGCCGAACAACCGGAGATGACATGCCTAAGTGACTCACCGGGATGGCGACAAGCTCGACAGATGTCGATGGTGCCATCCTTTAGGATGTATCTCCGATAGTTGTTGGTCTTAATAACCTGATCCTGTATTGCACAGACAAAACCCTCGGTTTCCCCGAAGAGGTCACCAAAGCGTAGCCAGTGGAGAGAGGTTACTGTGTCTACGAAAGGCCCATGTAGAGACTTGTAGAACCTCCCGTGGAGCTCCTTCTCCTTCCATACGGTCTCCCGGTCGGAAATTGTCTGCACTGCCGGGTCTTGCCATTGCTCGTTGGCTAAGGATAGAGGGGTAAGTCCTTTATCACAAGAAATGACGTCCATATAGAATGGATCATCCGATCTCGCCAGGAAGTAATTACGGAGGCTGCACACTTCGCGATTATGCATGGTGAGCGCGCTCAAGAAGCCACGCCCACCATGCTTTCGCGGCAAGTACAGCCTCATTACCGACGATCTCGGATGATGCATCCTGTAGGACGTCATGGTAGTGCGGACTTTTCTATCCAGGGCGTTAAGTTCAGTCTGAGTCCACCTGAGTATGCCAAAGGTATACATGAGGACAGGTATGACCCAGCCGTTATATGCTTGTGTCTTATTCACACCGGACAAAAGGCTGTTAAGCACTTTGGTCAAGCGTGCATAAAACACGTCGCAAACTGACTGTTTCATACCAGCCTCATCGATACCAATGTTCTGTGACATACCCAGGTATCGGTATGTTTCAGCCTCGGAAAGGGTCCTTAAGTTGACGGGCATAGATAAGTCTATGCCCTCAGAGTTAGCAACCCTACCCCTCTCAACATGGAGGACCGCACACTTATCCGTCCCCAGCTCCATTCCAATGGAATTGCTAAATTCACAAGTGATGTTTAGCAGTTCCATAAGATGGGAGCGACTGGAGGCGAATAACTTGAGGTCATCCATATAGAAAAGGTGGGTTACTTTTGTCCCTCCTTTCCGTAGCTGAAATCCCCTCCCGGAGCCCTCCAGTAAGGTACTGAGAGGGTTCAGAGAGAGGCAGAACCATATTGGACTCAGACAATCGCCCTGGAAGATACCCCTTCTTATCCTTATGTGGTTCTCCGCAGCCATCATCCGCTCGCCCAGATGACAAAGGATCGTACTCCACTGCCCCATACACTGCTCGAGGAAGTCTCTAACTGTACAGTCTATCTTGTACAGTTCGAGGACTCTCTTTAGCCATGTATGGGGCACCGAGTCGAATGCCTTTCTGTAGTCTATCCAGGCGGCGGAGAAGTTCCGACGGTTGCGTTTCACCACTTTGCCAATGACCGCGTCAATGAGGAGTGGTTCCTTGGTTCCACGACCGCCGCCCCGACATCCATTTTGAGCGCGCGACATCACCTGATTTGAGTCCAGGTGACGAGTGATTCTCGCGCTCAAAATGGATGTTAGTGTCTTATATATGGTCGGTAGACATGTGATGGGGCGGTATTTGCTCGGGTCTGTGGTACTCTGGCCTTTAGGAACCAAATGGGTGATCCCAGTAGTGAAGAGGCTCGGGAGCGACTTCTGGTTGAGAACCTCTTGAAACTGTCGGGCGAGCACAGTGTGACACACCACGAACCCCTTCAGCCAGTAGTGATGCAGCCCGTCGAGTCCCGGACTTTTCCAGTTCGGGGCCCTACGGACCGCCTCAGCTACGTCACCCGGCGTTATGGTGACGGGGTCCATGGGCGTAATACCCGCACACTGACTCGCCACAACTTCCGTCCAAGGGCCCTCGTTGTGGTTTACGGGCTCTGACCACAGGCTGCGCCAGAATGCGACCGTGTCGGCCTGATTCGGTACTGGGCCCGTTCCACTTACCATTGGTCGCTCCAATGATTTATAGAGCCTCTTCTGATCACTCTGGAAGAGACGATTCTGGTTGAACCGTGTCGACCTCTCGGTATATCGCCGAATTCGCTTTCCCCAAGCAGCGATTCTCTGCTTCAGGTCGTCTATGCGCTCCGTCAGTTTTTGCATTATATCCGGCTGGGACAAACTAACATTTGTCCCAGCAAACGCCATCCTGACGGTGCGCACAATCCTTGGCCTGGTATTGCCTGACCTGAAGCATATCAGTCTGCCGATGAGGGCCCTAGCCTTTGCGATACGTTCTTCAATTCTTGTTCTCCAGGCTGGGATAGCACTACTTTGTCCAGTAGTGCGTCCAGCCGTGGAAAGTTTGGCGCCTATAATACGGCAGACTGCCAGTGCGGCGCCAAAGAGAATTGAGTCCGTCTCGCAAAGGTCCCGGCTGGCTTCCAAATAGGTCACCAGCATTGGGTTCAGAGCCCTCACGACGGCCCGATTCCGCTTGCTTAGGGCTATGCGGGGAAGTCGCGGTCGATTTTCGAGAGGCGTACTGCGCGTTTCCATAATCGCCTCTTCCAATGTACTCCTCATTTGCTCTATTTCTAGTTCCTGGGTGAATGTTCCATCATCATTTGAATCAGCAACCACTGGGGTATTCTCGGCGGCATCCACGTGTGCGGGTTGTTCTGCAACTTGTGGCACCGCACCCTCAGTCGTAGCGTTTTCATTTGATGAGGGAACAGCCTCACGTCGTAGCCGTTCGAGTTCGGCGCCATCAAATATATTTGAGCGTAAGATATACCGAACTCGGTCTGCCAGGTTTTGCTCGGTGACAGTAATAGATGGCTCCAGCTCAGTAAAAAAGACGATGCATCCTAGCCCGATACGCGAAACCTCCAATTTCTCCCCCTTTCGCCCTAAAATACGCCCGCAATGCGTTTGAATTCATATTGATGGTCCATCGCATGCGGCGTACTCCACCAGTGGCGGGTGCCGATTGCTGGGCCTGCGAAGACCCTGCCGACACCAAGCAAGCTGGTGGGGATGATGGATGCGAGGGGCTGCTGGGTGGTCGTGCAGCACCTCGCGTTCGGCTGGCGGTTCGCATGCTGTCGCGTCCAGCGCCAGCTCCAGACGCGCCCTGACGACCTCCAGGCAGCGGCCCTTTGCGCAATCTTCTATGTTCCATCATCCATACAGGGCCGTCATTTAACGGGAGACGCCCAGACCCGGCGCCGTTTCATGGTGAGGCCATATGCACAAGCGGGCCCTTGCACCATCAATTTTTGCCGAGGCACGGCGCTCACACCTCTTGGCAAGGTGCTGACTGACTGCGCGGACGTAGCGGTTTTGTCACATAACCGTCACGTCAACGGGCGATGGGGTCGTCAATTCCCTACGCCTTATTATTATTATTATTATTATTTTTGGGGTATCTATATAATTTTCTCATCTGCTTGGGTTCTATAAATATATAATTTTAAGTTAAAATGAAAAGATAAATATACATAAATATCAATAAATTTTAAAATAAATACAAAAAATACATATATAAATAAGATCCAACCGGATTTTGCATATCTAAATTTGACTGCTGAACATGGTCTTCTTCCCTCCCACTTAATATCTACGCAAATTCATACGTGTCTTGACCATGTTCTGCTCAAAACCACTTACCCAGCTTTTACTATTGTTGTTGAAGCCACTGTGACTGATCACTTTGCGGTGATACTCTCTCTCTATCAAAGAAAGTACGTAAGTAAGAGTGTTCACAAGACAAACGAAGAAAAGTTGGAGTCAAAGTCTCTTAAGTGTAGATTTTGAGAGCTTGTTAAATTTAGATGACCCCGATTCTGCGATACAATATTTTATAAATGCTATACGTAACTCCATCTCCTACGCGACTATAACTTATATCCCATCCCGCAGGCGCAGAATTCTTAAGCCGTGGATGACTCCAGGATTCCTAAAGTGTCTCAGAAATAGGGACAACTTACACAAAAAGTTTAATAAATCACCCGATAACGTGGTTCTCAAAGTAACCTATAAGCGCTACAGAAATTATTGCAATTCTTTGCTCAAGAGCGTTAAACGTGATTATGAAAGAAATGAATTTGCTGAGGCTGGAAAAGACTCAAACGTATTTGGGAGACAATAAACCAAGTTACCAATACTAGCCCTAGAACAACACCAGGCCACGAATTAATACAATTGTGTCCATTCCCATGTGAATTGGCCGATAGAGTTAACTCCTTCTTTATCAATGCTGGCAAAATCCTTGCTGAAAAATTTGACCAAACGACAGCTATCTCAACCCATGCTACTTCTGCGGTTTCAAGTTCTAATTTAATAGAAAACTCTTTCGTTCTTTTAAATACAGACGAAGAAGAAGTTGAACGGATTATCATTGCTTTAAAATCAGATAAAGCTGTTGGATGGGATGGTATCTCCACTGGTCTTCTGAAAAAGTACAAAGACATCCTAGTGCCTCCTCTGACATTTATTATCAACTTGTGTTTGACGGCAGGTGTTTTTCCAAGGGTGCTGAAAAAAGCTTGCGTTCATCCAATTTACAAAAATGGCGATCAAAGTCTACCTAATAATTATCGTCCTATATCAATACTGCCGTCAATCTCTAAGGTTTTTGAAAAAATCATAAACTCTAGACTAGTGAACTACCTTGAGCAAAAGAATTTATTATCAAATGTCCAGTTCGGTTTTCGTGCAAAAAATCAACATCAGATGCTTTACTTTCGGTTACCAACTACATTACGCAAAACTTAGATAGGGGTAGAAAGAGTTTAGCCATCTTTCTCGATCTAGAGAAAGCTTTTGACACCGTTTCAATTCCACTGTTGCTCCAAAAGCTTGAGGATATTGGCGTGCGAGGCTGTCAACTTACATTATTTTCGAGCTATCTCAGTGGCCGATGTCAGTATGTCAAGTTGTCTAATAGTGTCAAAAGCTCTGATTCTCCTGTCTTTTTTGATGTTCCTCATGGCAGTATACTTGGTCCGACCCTATTCCTCATTTTTATTAATGATTTGTGTAACCTTAATCTTCACAATGGCAAGATAATTACATTTGCTGATGACACAGCTCTCCTTTTTTCTGGAAGCACCTGGGAGGATGTCTTCCGGCAATCTCAGGTTGGGTTTAATATGGTATGTGCTTGGCTTAGGAAGAACTTACTAACTTTAAGTTGTAAGAAAACTAAATATATGCCTTTTGCAATCCGTACCTTATCCTTACCTGTAGACGCGCATAAAATCATTGCTCACTGTTGTGCTAATTCTAACACTTTAGATTGTTCCTGTCCCGTTTTAGAGAAGACTAATAGTATCAAGTATCTTGGTATATTATTTGACAACACCTTAACATTCCGTTCTCATATTAAAACACTATGTGGTAGAGTGCATAAATTGATTTTTATATTTAAAAAATTAAGACATGTTGCTAATAGAGAAGTCCTAAAATTGGCCGATTATGCTTTGTGTCAATCTTTATTAACATACGGAATTGAAGTCTGGGGTGGTGCAGCCAAAACACATATTATTGATCTAGAGCGTGCGCAAAGATCACTTTTAAAAGTTATCCATTTTAAACCCTACCTATATCCAACTTTAGGTTTGTATAGAATAAGCGAAGTTCTTACAGTTCGACAACTATTTGTGCTACATATAGTTTTAAGACAACATACAATTTCAAAAATAACTCAAAAGGAACATTGCCGCTGTAATCATCTGGTAGCTCAGTCAGTGCCTCTCTTCACATCTTTTGCTAGGAAATTCTTTACTTTTTTTGGGTCCATATTTATATAATAAATTACACCAAAAATTATCTATTTATAAAGTCAACAGATGGTCATGTAAAAATAGACCCGTGGAATATCTTCAGACTCTTTCATACACAGATACAGAACAATTACTCCAAATTATCTCATATATATTCACAGACATACACGCACGTATGAGATTTGTGAACAAATCATGCTAACAGTCACAAATCTCATACTTACGCTACAAAAATACGTGGTTTTTTATTTTTTTTATTTTATATTATTTATTTTTTTCTCTATATATTATTATTTCTAACCATAACATAAGTAATCTCCTTATAACATTAAACTTGTTGCCAAGTAAATTCGGGGGGGGGGGGGCCTGGTGACCTGTAATACCTTCTCTCTCTCTTTGCACCTAAACACGGGCACCAGTCTTCCATGAATGACAAAATATTGTTAAAATAGAGATGTAACACTAATGTATCTTCCATGTCATTTATGGTGAGAAATAAATAAATTATTATTATTATTATTATAGATAGAAACCCTCGGCAGGGGAGACCAAACGGCCGAGGGTTAGGAGGAAAGGGAAAGAAACCGGCGGACGATGCGGGCGGTATCGAGGAGCACCGCCTTCTGCATTTGAGCTCGGAGCGGCCCGTCACGGAGTCCCAGTCGCCTCAGATGACCCGAGAGGCTGACTGGGATTAGCCCATTCGCAGAGACGACTCAGGAATAATTTCGGCCGGCAAACCACCCCAAAAGTCGGTTACCTCGTGAGCCAGGTCCAGATATTTTGTTCGTTTATCTGTTTCGGCTTTCACGAGATTCTCGTCATACGGAATGGTAATGTCGATCAAAAATATCCTTAACTGTGCCCAGTCCATCAGCACAATATCAGGCTTATTCGCAAGAATAGTCCTGTCTATGATGACGGCCCAGTCCCAGTAGAGCCTGGCGCGGTCATTTTCGAGCATGGCTTCCGGCAAATACATGTAATACGGCAATTTCCGGTTCAAGAGACCGTATTTCAGAGCGAGCCCCTGGTGTAGAACTCTGGCTACTAGGTTGTGCCTGTGCAAGTACTCAGAGTTAGAAAGTGCCGAAAAACTGGAGATAACATGCCTAAGTGACTCACCGGGATGGTGACAAGCTCGACAGACGTCGACGGTTCCATCCTTTAGAATGTATCTCCGATAGTTGTTGGTCTTAATAACCTGATCCTGTATTGCACAGACAAAACCCTCGATTTCCCCGAAGAGGTCACCGAAACGTAGCCAGTTGAGGGAGGCGACTATCTACGAAGGGCTCATGTAGAGCCCTGTAGTACCTCCCTTGGAGCTCCTTCTCCTTCCATACGGTCTCCCGGTCGGAAATGCTTTGTACTGAAAGAGATAAGGGAACAAAATATCTGGAACTGGCTCACGAGGTAACCGACATCTGGGGTGGTCTGCCAGCCTAAATTATTCCTGTAGTCGTCTCTGCGAATGGGTTAATCCCAGTCAGCCTCTCGGGTCATCTGAGGCGACTGGGACTCCGTGACGGACCGCTCCGGGCTCAAATGCAGAAGGCAATGCTCCTCGATACCGCCCGCATCGTCCGTCGGTTTCTTTCCCTTTCCCACTAACCCTAAGCCGTTTGGTCTCCCCCTGCCGAGGGCCTCCATCTGGTTAGGCTTTTATTTATTTATGTATTTTTATATTTATTTTATTGATATTTATGTATATTTATCTTTTCATTTTCATTTATAATTATATATTTATAGAACCCAACCAGATGAGAAAACTATATAGATACCCCACAATAATAATAATAATAATGTTTATTGATAAACAAAATATGGTACACACTTATAATCTAATCTTAAGATTAAAGTTTTGGGTAAAACAAACATTTTTAAAACAATTGATACCTGAATGCATAAGATGTTGTTTCATTCGAACAAGAAACAAGTTTCACCACTAAAACTGTGAACATTTATTAAGAATGTAATTTATGTTGTGTATTTAATAGTACAAAATTGAAATTTTAATTTTAATTGAATATATCTTAATATTTGGAACATTGGAACGAAAAGTGTACACTAAAAGATAAAAATTGCTGGCATTTAAACTAGGCC